ATTGTATAAGAAACCAATCGATGAAGAACGATTTGTAGTAGAAAATATGTTGTAAGAATCACTGTTGAAACGAGAGAAATGTTGCTCCAAGCATTCAGTATTCTTTATATTTGGTATGAGAAGTTTCATCACCCTTTTTGTGTTACATTTTGGGGTATTTATAGTGTTACAAGTCGAATATTGACTTTTGGATCAATTTACACGTGGCCTCATCTCCTCGGCCAAGACATCAAATTCTAGCCACCAAGTTGACTCTCCTAGCCTTACAAAGCATTAAATGTTCTTACATTGACTAGACAAGACAGAGTTTACTTAATACAAAAGTCACGTCAATCATTCACATGGATCTTTCATCATTGCAATATCTTTCCATGTGGTCTTCTTCCACGCGAGGCTTGGGCCTGGGATGGCAGTGAAGGCATAGGAACTGTCTTGAGGGCCTCGAAATCCACGTTGGAGGCTAAGAGAACATATCCTGGCTTAAGTAAACTGGTCTCACCACTGAAATATGGTGCCACGTGTCGCTTCTATATTATGACTCGTAACAAATATCACATTAAGTGAGAAATATTTTTTATACAATTCTAACTTTACTGTAATCCAATTATTTCAGTAACGCTTTACTTACAAATCCTAAGATTTGAGATTTGACTGCAATTATTTTAACGTTTTGAAATGCAATCAAATGAAAACACTAAAATTTGGAATCCTTCTATATTCTTTTATTTTAATATCAATTCAAGAATTTGACAACACTTATTTGAACTTGAAGACAAATGTTCATATTTTATTTAATAATCTCTCTTGAATAATATTAAACATATCCTCACATATAACCCTATTTTATCTCTATAAAGAGTGATAACTGATAAGGTATGATTGTATGAAGATGAATTAAATCACAAAAATAAGATTTGAGACTTTGATTGCAGTTGTTTCATTTTATTTATTTAACTGTGAAGATAAATTTGTCATTTTATAAGACTTTATGAAGAAAAAAGATGAAAAATTGTATTCCAAAAAAGTTTTGCTGATTTTTAAAAACTTTAAGTCAAAACAAAAATTAGAGGATATTGTTGGAAATATGCAAACATCATGAGATATTGTACCAATCACCATAAAACTAAACAAGAGTTTGCCATTACCATTTCTTATAAGCAGTGTGCTAAGACTATTAGGCCCTGTTTGATTGCTCTTTCTTTTCCATGGAAGATGGAAATTAAAGTCTATTTCCACATTTTTGCATGTTTGATTGACTAAATTTTTCATGTAATTTGTTTTCCACAATTTCTTGGTTTTTGAGGAAAAGCTTTTCCCATGGGTTTGGTGGGAAAAGCTTTTCTAGACAGGCTTTTTTTTTTTTTTTTGGATATTGAAACAAATTACATCCCCCATTGTAACAAATAATATTCCTTTAATGGACAATTTACATGGAAAACAAAGTTAAACGAACATCAAAAGATCCAAAATTTCAATATTTTCAGGTGAAAAATTATATCAATCAAATACAATCAATTGATAATTCATAGTAAAATAAGTTCTAGGCAATTCAATTCCTTGAAATTCATTTTTTTTTCCACCCAAATTCCATTTTTGCAATCAAACGGACCCTTATATTATCTCATGTTTGGGTTTCATTTTTTGGCTTAATAGCACAAAACATCCCTACGTTTGATACTTCTTGTGGAAAACATCCTTACGTTTCATTTTTTTGCAGTTTCGTCCTTATTTCAATGTTTCATTGCGGAAAATATTATTTTCAGAACAAAACGTCCCTACGTTAGACATTTCTTGTGAAAAACGTCCATAGGTTTCATTTTTTTTTTATATTTTCGTCCTTATTTCAACGTTTCATTGCAGAAAACGTCATTTTCACCATTTTTTAACGTAAAATGACAAATATACCCTTCTATCTAATTAAAACAAAAAAAAGATAGGAAAAAAATAAAGAACAAATTAAAATCTTACTCCTAAACTTTTTAAAAAAGTGTAAATGAGTCCAAATAAATATAATTTTGCTCTCTAATTTTGGGGTGATTTTTGCACCTCTAGCCGCCGTTTATGGAGCCAAATGCCAGCAAGATCCGGCCACCTAAACCGCCGGAAATGTTACATGTGGAAAGCCCTTAACCTCATCTTCAATTCCATACCAATATCTCCTTGTAACTCCAAGTATTTCGGCCGGCACAAAGTTTCAAAGTTTGTTGCTTGAAAATCTGAAAAACGCCGATTTCGCGCCTTCCGGCCACCATATCGGCTGGAGCTCATCACTGACCAACCCCCCCACCTCTAGACGACCCCACTCATGCAATCAATTGTAACCAAACACCAAGTTTAGATGCTGAATTTAACCCGGAACTTCTCCCTATTGCAACGCACGCAACATCGCATGAGGAGAAGTCAGTTTCCGGAGCCGTCTGGACAAACGGAGGTCGCGGACCACATGGGCTAGGTTTACCTTCACCTGGTGTACCTGGCGCACCCTTGGGTCTCCCCCTATTTGACTTCAATCGACTGGAATTTGGATCTGAAATGCTTGCAGGCACGAAATCAGCGTTTTTCAGATTTTCAGGTAGCAAATTTTGAAGCTTTGTACCGGCTGGAATACTTGGAGTTACAAGGAGATATTGGAATGGAATTGAAGATGAGGTTAAGGGCTTTCCACCGGTACCATTTTCTGGTGGTTTAGGTGGCTGGAGCTTGCCGAAATTTGGCTCCATAAACGGCGGCTAGAGGGGCAAAAATCGCCCCAAAATTAGGGAGCAAAATTATATTTATTTGGACTCATTTGCACTTTTTAAAAATGTTCAGGAGTAAGATTTTAATTTGTTCTTTATTTTTCTTCTCTTTTTTTTTTAATTTAAATAGAAGGGTATGTTGATCATTTTACGTTAAAAATGGTGAAAATGATGTTTTCCACAAGAAATGAAACGTATGGACGTTTTCCACAAGAAATGTCAAACCTAGGGACGTTTTGTTCTGAAAAGAATGTTTTCCGCAATAATGTTGAACTAATGACGAAAATGCGAAAAAATGAAATGTAAGGACGTTTTCCACAAGAAGTGTCAAACGTAGAGACGTTTTGTGCTATTAAGCCTTCATTTTTTTTTTCAAAATGTAGTTTTCCCTCTTTGTTTTAATCACATATTTTTCAATAAACAATATTGCACGTAAATTCAAAATTTTCTCTTCCTTTTTAGCTACATGTTATTTAAAAAATAACTATTTTAAAATATATTTTATCTCCAAAAAAACATTTTAATAGAACCCAAACAAGGGCTTAGACAACCAGTGCTCCTATAAAATATACGTGGTTGTATTCCATTGAAAGATTAATTAAGTTTCTGTTTGTCCATCTTTAAAATATAATTTTTTAATATTTATACTCTTTTTTAATCACACATTCACACAATAAAATATTTTATAAATAAATTCAAAAACATTTCATACTTTTTAACCACACATTCTTAAAAAAACAAATACAATACAATACAATTTTTATTTTTTTCAAAATAATGACAATCAGGGCTAATTCTTTTATTAACTTGGTCCAGTAGTATCGAACTTTAAAGAAAGATCTCGTCTGTTCTACACAATATTTTTCTTTATTATTTTAAGAATAAAGCTGGTTGTATCGAAGTGGTTGACAACCACTCACAAGTGATGGGCCCCACTGTGATTTAAAAAAAAAAATTACCCACCCACCCATCCATCCCATATGTGAGAGATTGTCAACAAACGCACCCCTCCCCCTCCCCCTCCCCCTCCCCCTACCCCATGTACAGATGGTTCCCACGGATATTTTTTTCCAAGAAACGGCCTGAAAGTGCTTGAAACTGTTAAGGGATATAATCCCACATCGAATAAAGATGTTGACACAGACCAATTAATAAAGATCTTGAGCTACTTCTCTTAATAAGGTTGACCTTTTAAGATGGACCCCCAAATCTTAACATAGTATCAGAGCCCATTATACTCCAAAGAGCGATTCGATCCTGGTAAGACTCCAAAAAGTGAGCACGTGGATTTCAAGATTTGTCTGCTCAAATGAGCCACCATCTTGCGGGGGCGTGTTAAGGGATATAATCCCACATCGAATAAAGATGTTGACACAGACCAATTAATAAAGATCTTGGGCTACTTCTCTTAATAAGGTTGACCTTTTAAGATGAACCCTCAAATCTTAACAGAAACTCCATCTTCTTCCTATAAATATATAATGCCCCTCTGAGCTACATCCATAATCGAAAATTTGGAAGCTTTGATTCAGCCATTACAAGAAATTGTAAATCCTTGTATTCGTATAGCGATTCAAGAAATCCACCCGATAAAATGTCTCTCATTCCAAGATTCTTTGGCAACAGACGAAGCAACGTTTTCGATCCATTCTCTCTTGATATTTGGGATCCCTTTGAGGGCTTCCCTTTCTCAAGCTCGGTAGCCAGTGTGCCAAGCTCTGCCAGCGAAACCTCTGCATTTGCTAATGCTCGTATAGACTGGAAAGAGATTCCAGAAGTCCACATTTTCAAGGCTGATCTTCCGGGATTCAAGAGGGAAGAGGTTAAGGTGGAGGTTAAAGAAGGAGGAGTGCTTCAGATCAGTGGAGAGAGGAGCAAAGAGCAAGAGGAAAAGAATGACAAGTGGCATCGCGTGGAAAGGAGCAGTGGCAAGTTCCTTCGCCAGTTTAGGCTGCCGGAAAATGCCAAGACAGATCAGGTAAAGGCTAGCATGGAGAATGGTTTACTTACTGTGACTGTGCCTATGGAGGAAGTGAAGAAGCCTGAGGTGAAATCCATTGAGATCTTTGGAAAAAAATATGATCCTACTAACACTTCATTTACAAAGCGTAATCAATAAGAATTTTACACAAACCAGTCCATCATTTGACATTTGAAACGTGTCAGAGAAACTGAATTAGAATCTTCTAGTATGACAATAAAAGAAAATTAACGCAATAAGCACCATCAACTTTTAGCATCTTTACTTGATTGATTGACACTAGGAGAGACTTTTGTAACGGGTTGGCTTCTGTGTCCAAATGGTTAACTTGTTCTGGGAGAGCTAAGCATATTTTACCCCTTACGAATTTTTATCGCGTCCCCACTATTCGAACCCTTGACTTTTCTTTTAAAACTGATTTGAGTTGAATCCTATTACCACTTGAACAGCCTTAGTCATTTACATGTATTTTCATTAATTGAAGATAAAATCTTACAGAGAAGTATGTATATAATTTCTGCAGAAAAAGTGTCAATGCCAAAGGCTCCTCAATGGACAACATATCCTTAGTCTAAGCTAAATGGTAGTTAATTTATACTTTCCTACAAAACTATTTCACAGCACATCTAGCTTCAAGCGGATTCAGCAAGCAAAGAAAATCATATACAAAACATTCTTAACATACCAAGAAAATCAAAGTATTTTCTGATGCTGAGATCCTATGCCATTGCCCTCAATAAATTCAGTCGGCCACAGATACATCATTTTGTACCTTAGACCGCAACTTTTTCCTAAGAAAATCAGACAACGGCTTGATTGCAGCACGTCCTTGTTCCAGACACTGAAAGTAATTGTTCACTGTGTACAAAAATGAAAGCAAGCTGTAAGACCTTTGGAGGCAAATAAAAAGAGCACATGTTTATGCCTCTATATTGTAATTATTTCAAAGAACACTGGGAATAAAAATGTGATGTGTAATGTATACCAATGGACCTCAAATGATTGGCTAAGCTTAAAAATATTACTTGCAAGTGAACTTCTTGGAAAATAAGTTAGAAACTAGATATAGTGAAATTTGGAATTAAGCAAGTTTCATATTTCAAGAGCAACCTAAAAGTTACTTCTAAAAAAACTTGAAATAAGAAAAATTAGCTATCCATAAATGTTTGAAGACGAGTTACAAAAAAGTAACACAAGCCTAGCCAAACATGCTATGATAGTATTGTACGCTCATCCATGAAAACAGTAAAAAGATAAAGGATGAGGAATCAGGACGGAAGAGTGATGTCAGCCTATCACTATCAGTTAAAATGAGAGAATCAACGGTTCCACGCTATAAGAAATACTAGTGAAAGACATCTAGATTCTTAAACTTCTTAGCCATGACACCCAGTCATTGCTGTGAACTAGCAAGGAAATCAATGTCTCTTATACTTGTACCACGAGTTTATTGTAATAGAAGACGTTATATGAACTAAAAGATGCGGGATGAAGTGTGACAATTACCTGACATAACACCATGAGTAACAAATGTGATAATTTCATTTTCAATCTATTCTCCTACTTCCACTGATTCCTGATCAAGTACAGACAGAATCGAGTTTCTGCAAACTAAATATTAATAAAAGGTTAGTCAAGGAAGTTAAGGGATAATGGCCTTCCGAACATGGAAATATTAATACGTACCAAGCTTAAAGAAAAAAAATAAATGAAACTATTATAAAACCCAGACATCATATTTTTTCTCCTTTAATATATCCGAAAGATGAATTTCTTTTTATTTTACAAATGATTGTGCTTGTTTGGGTTTCATTATAAGTTGCTAAATTATAATGTGATAAAAATAAGTGGTTAATAAGTAGGAAGTAGTTCTGAATCCTACAAAATGTGGTTAAAATTACAATTTGACTTCGAACCTTAAATTATAAGGAGATTATCTTATATTTGACTCATGTTTATATATCATTAATAAGCACTCAAACCACTTTTATCTACACATTTTGAAGAACCAACAAGTACCACCCACTTATCTACTAATTTATATTTATTTGTAATTGAAAACATTTATAAACACCCAAACATGCTCTTAATGGAAGGCAAACAAGATCGTAGTAGAAACCATAAAATTAAGTTCTTTATTGAAACTCATTAACAGCTACCAAGGTGGTTATTTGCAAAATTTCTATTAAAATAAAGTATTGAATAATGAAGCAAAACACGAAAAGAGAAAGAAAAGTGAAGAAACCAATTTTTCCAAAACTAAAGATAACAAGGTGAACTTTAATGTTTTGTTGATAACTTTTTGTTCCATTTCCTTTTTTGGTCACATTTTATGTTTAATTCGGAACAGTAAACAAGTACATTTCGAAAGGCATACCTTCCTAAATTCGTTCTTTCTTATACATTAAATTCCTTTAATGTGCAAATGAGCTCGCACTGCACATTATACCTCAAAAATCAGGTTTTGATTAAAGGAACCATGACAGTCCAAATACTGAATTAGTCACATCATAAAGCAAACAACGTTGAGGAACCATGACAGTCCAAAGACTAAATTAGTCACATCATAAAGCAAACAACGTTGCCGCTGTATATACCACTGTAGCATTAAATGAAGCTGCATAATCACGAAGGATACTTGACCATCATTTAACAACTTGCATGAATGAGAAAGTTGATGAGTCACACCACAAAAATTAATGCAACCAGAAAAAGAGACACATAAAGATTGGATTAGAGAGAACCCGTAGAGTAAGTGAAGGTGGTTAATGCAGGAAGGCAGTAAAAAGAGAAAATCATATATTAATTAGAAAAGAGAAAAAAATAGGAGGATCTACAAAAACATGCATAACTTTCAACTCCAATGTCGAATTTTCGACCGTGAGTACAATTCGGATGCGTTTTTCAATTCTGTACATTTTTTTATGACATTGTCAAACTTTTGAGATCAAATTACATTGTTTGGAGCTCTATTTTAGCATTTTTATTTTTGAGTCAGTTTAAGGATATTTTAGTCATTTTTACAATATTTTAGTTTTATTCAAGTTTGTTTAATAGTTTTTAGTTTATTTGGATTTGTTTATAGAATTAGAATTTCACTTTGATTATGAATTGTTTTGAGCCTATAAATACGCGTTAATGTTGTAAAAATAATTAATTCGATTCTTAATTAATAAAAAATTTTAGTTTTCTGATAGACTCCTGCATTTATGAATGATTCCTGTAGAAGAAATGAACACAGCAAGGAAGATACCAACACCCAAATGATGTAAAATACTATTTGATATTTTGTAATAGGAGAACTTCAATTATAGTAACTAGGTAGAAGGTAGGAATTACAGAGATTTACTGCTATGTAAATGTACTCAGCAACAAAGAAATGAAATAAATGGTTTTTGGCTTTTCGAGACCGCCCATTCTCTCCCCCAAGACTATACTCAATTTCCCATCCCTGCATTCTTCTTTCCCCCCTATTTATAGATTGTGTGATCCCCATACTGTGCTCTAACTGCCTGTATAACCAGCTTGTGAATTGTTGTAACTGTTTAGCTCATTTTCCTTCATGCCCCTACTGCCCCTTGTGCTCCATTCGAGCGAAATTCAAGCAAACACATGTTCATGTGTTAAGATCAAGAAACTTTTATTATTATTCACATTTTCGTCACGCATCAGGTGGTATCAGAGCCTACTTTCCCATCTCTATATTTTTTATACATAAGCATGGGTGATGTATCAGTTACTATGACAGATTTGGACACAACAAATCAACGGTTTGATGATCTTACTACTAAGATTGGAGAGATCCGTCAAATGTTGTTATGGGGTTGTTGGTAATAAACTAACAATAGGCAGAATCATCAACATGGCAATAAGGAAATCAACCATGAATGGATCGCGGAGCCTATAGTTCGAAGAGAAAATAACAAGAGACTTGCAGTAGAAGAAAGCAAATCGGATGCTAGAGATAAGAGAAAGAGGAAGAATATATCGATGAAGAACAAGGAGATTTTGTATGTACTGTGGAAAAAATCTTATGCTCATCCAAACAGGAAGCTTTAACTCATCATGAATAGATCTTTCAGGCCAATGATGCTGTTTGCAGTCATATCATAGACAATTGCAGTTTTGATAAACTAATCACGAAAAAGCTGGTGCATCATCTGAAGTTACCAAACGAACCACATTCAGATCCTTATCAAATTGGATAGATTAAGAAATGTTTGTCTATTCAGGTTACATAAATTTGTAAGGTACCTTTGTCAATTCACAAATCAGAAGTTATTTGTGATCTTGTTCAATTGGATGGGTGTCATATTATGTTGGACAGATCATGACAATTGATGTGGATGTCATAAATAAGGGTAGAAAGAATACCTACAAGTTTAAGTGGAAAGATAAAAATATTACGATTACACCTATAGGAAGGGCACATAAAACTTCTAAAGTGGAAGGGAAAGATTTTCTGACTAGTACAAATTCAAACAGTGAGTTTTCCTCCCAGGAGTCTTTGTATCTAGATGACAACTCAAGGTCCAGTTGTTTTGAAGTGGAAGGGAATAATGGGGGATAGTTATAAGAGAAAATCGTAAATAATTGGAGAAGAAAAAAACCAGGTGGATGTACGGTAATATGCATATTTAAGCTTCAATGTCGGATTTTCGTCCGTGAGTACAATCTAAAATGTTTGTTCAACGTAAAAAATAGCCTACCTAAGGGCCAACTATATAATTTTTGTAAGGACAATTATATGTGCATTACATTTTTTTATATAATTAATCACGCTTTATATAATTAAATATTTTCAATTAAGTGGGCAAATATTTAATTTCACTTTTGTATTTATTATTCTTTTTGATTATTTAAAAGTACCACGCATGAATAAATCTTTTAATACAATTAAACTCGGGTACACTAATAAGAATTTATGGTGTCGTTGCTTTTGAGTACCATTATAGATTGAAATATCTTTTTCAAACTAATTTAGTCAATTTTTTTAATTATTTTTTGTTTACAGGATTGGGACTATATAGTATAGTGGGACAATTGATTTCTCGAAAAAATGTGAACAGGGCATTCACTACGATTACCATGACATTGTGTGGAACGCTATCTGATTAGCACATCAATATTTTTAGAAC